ATCATCCCCCATCCCACCGTCGCGCGTCCCCCGCACCGCGCGCGCGTCGCGTCGAGGCGTCGAAGACCGCACGCGTCGCCCCGGCGCCAGCCGCGCGCGCCGTCCGTCGCCCATCCACCCCTTGTCGGTCGACGCGACGTCCCGCGTCGCCGTCGCGCGCGCGCGCGCGGGCGCGGCGGACATGGACGCCGCGCGACGCGACGGGCGATCGCGCGCGCGCGGTGGACGCGCGCGCGGACGTCGGGGCGTCGGTGGGGCGTGGATGGATATTATCTTTGAGTGATGACTCGTACACGGGGGGGTCGGTCCGACGCTCGCGCGTGTGTCGAGGGAAATATGGGGTTTGGGACCGTGCCCCGACGCTCGCGCGTGTGTCGAGGGAAATATGGGGTTTGGGACCGTGCCCACGCCCGTCGGGCTCGCGCGCGAGGCGACACATCGCGCGCGCGTGGACGACGATGGCGACCTCGAGCGCGGTCGAGGCGGCGGACGGGAGCGACGATGACGACGGACGGTGGTGGGCGCGTCTGGTGCCGGCGAGCGAGGACGCGATGGCGGCGACACACGTCGATCGCGCGGAGATGGGCGCGACGCGCGCGCGCGCGGTGGACGGGCAACGACGGGCGATGAAGCTCCGATTGAAGAGCACGGTGATCGGACGGGTGGTGATGAATCGCGAGGGCACGGCGAGGGCGCGAGGGCAACCGGCGGATTTAGCGCTGGAGGTGCCGAGCGGTGCGTCGATGGGTGATTTCGATGTCTGTGATTTTTGTTTTTTGAAAACTGGACGCGCGTTTGGAGGACTGACGAGAGCGACGCGGGTGCTTTGAATGACGCAGTGAGCGCGAAGCACGTGGTGGTGACGTGTGAGGTGAAGGATGCGTCGAAGTGGCCGCCAGAGTTTGACGTGAAGATTGTGGACGTGTCGAGGAACGGGGCGAGTCTGAACGGCGAACGCATGGAGAAGGACAAGTACTACGCCCTGGCGGATGGGGACATGTTGACGCTGCCGTTTCAGTTGGATTACAGGTTCGAGCTGAATCCGGAAGGGACGGTTCCGAGAGCGACGCGAGCGCCGATTGAGGAGACGGCGACGCCGTTGCAGAAGAAGCGGGCGTCGCCGGCGTCGGCGTCGGCGCGGGACGACGCGGCGAAGCGGACGCGCGATTCGGACGTCATCGGTTCCAGTGGGCCCGTGACGGAGCTCGAACAGAAGCTGCGAGAGATGAACGAGGCCAACGAGAAGCTTCGTACGCTCGTCCAAGAACTCCAAGGCAATATTGAGCAGAAGGAGAAGCGCGAGACGGAGCTGGTGGCCGAGCTGGAGCGTACCAAGGCGTCGAGCGACGAACAACGACCTCAAGTCGACCTCGTCGAGAACGAGGCGCTGGTGAAAGAGCTCGAGGAAACGCGCGCGCAGCGAGACGAGGCGAAATCCAAGATTGAGGTCGAAGCTAGGGCCAGGGCAGACGCCGAGGAACGTGTCGAGGCGCTCGTCGGCGAAAAGGTGGAGCTCGAGACTAAGCTTCAGAGTATCGAGACCGCGCATCGCGACGCCACGTCGGCTTTGGAGAAGCAGCACGCGGACGCTATCGCTAATACGCACGCGCAGAACGCTGAGACAACGGCAAAGCTCAACGAAGAAATCACAACTCTCAAGGCGCGCGTCGCCGAACTCGACGAAGCGCAGGCGCCTCTCAGACACGAGCTCAAGGTCGCGAACACGCGCGTGCAGCAGAGAGACGAGCACATACTTGATTTCCGGAAATCGGCAAAAGAGCTGTATGCGCTCACGCTTCACATGAGTAAAATGAACGAAAAGTACGATGAGATGCTGCAATCCGAGATTTGCGCCGAAAACGCTGAGGGCGACGCTACCGAAGACGAGGGCGAGGCCAAGAGCGATGAAGACGGTTTCGACGCTCCGGACGCAATGAAACCACCCTCTGACAGTGTCTTAGCCGACGTACACTGTCCTCCCTCGGAGCCGCAGGAACCTGCGATAGAGAGAGACGACGAGGAGACGAAGGGCGACGAGGCCGCCATGGAGGAGGAGGCGGAGAACGAGGAGGCCACCGCCGCCGCCACGCCCAAATCGCCGCCACTTCGATCCGTCTCCGGGAATACCCCGCGCTCGAGCTCTCGCTCGCCAAAACGAGGCATCGTTCGCGACAGCGAAGATGTCATTCCCATGAACGTCTTCGAAGGTTGACACTTCGAATGATGATCGAATAACACACGCGTAGAAACAACAAAGTCGACTGAAAGCTTTTTGCAACCAACCAGAAGTACCTCATTCGTCATCGCTTCGCCCGACCGCGCGCGCTCTAACGCGCTCGCGGCCGGCGCCACCATCCCTCCCATGCCCTCGCACGCCCTCCTCGTCGCCGTGCGCGCGTTCGTTCGCGCGCGCGTTGACCAGCCGCCGCCGTTTCGAAGCCGAACGCTGAAACCGTCTTCTTTTCGTCGTCACGGCATCGTGACGCACGCGTCGTCCACGAGTAGTAGCGATGACGATGGTTCAAAGGTTGCCGTGCTGGGGGGCGGCGCGGCGGGACTCACGGCGGCGTACTTCGCGGCAAAACAAGGCGCGCGGGTGGTGGTGTATGAGCGCAACGGTGAGTGCGGAAAGAAAATCTTAATGTCGGGAGGATCGCGGTGTAACGTGCTCCCGGTGAGCGCCACGGAGAAAGATTTCGTGACAGAGAGCTCTGCTCGGGCGCTGAAGGCGCTGTTGAAGTCGTGGAGTGTGGATAGATGTCGAGCGTGGATCGAGGAGGACGTCGGCGTCGCGCTCGGCCTGGAGGAGACGACGAACAAGTATTTTCCGCTGAGCAACTCCTCAAAAGAGGTTCGGGATCGATTGGTGGAGGCGTGTGAAAAGGTTGGGGTGGAGTTTCGGTACGAGAGCTCGATCGATGGCGTGGTGAGAAGTGGTGACGGTGCAGGATGGACGCTGCGCGTGCGCGGGCGCGGAGACGAGCGCGCGCGGGTGTTGGTTTTGGCGATGGGCGGTTTATCTTTTCCCGCTGTCGGTACCGATGGTACCGGCTTCGTGATCGCTAGGAGAGACCTCGGACATTCACTGAACGAGCCCTATCCTGCGTTGGTGCCGCTCACTGGGGCACATCCGGGAGGCGAACCACTCCCGGGCCTCACCGCCCAGGTCGAACTCAAGATTTCGGGCGCCGAGGGGAGTAAAAAAGCGGCCAAGGCGAATCGAAAGGGATTTTTGTTCACCCATCGCGGCTTCAGCGGACCGAGCGTGTTGGATATGAGCCATCATCTCGTGCGACCGCTCGTGCGCTCAAATTCCGCAAAGGGAGGATCGACAAAGGATGAAGATTTTGACGAGGTGACGTCGTCTTCATCGCCCAAGATGGTTATTAACTGGAGTGGAGTGAAGCGCGAGGAGTGGCAGGAGCGTTTGACGGCGCCTCCGGGTCGTGCGCTCGTCATCAACAGAGTTCGTGACGCGCTGCCAAGTCGACTCGCCGACGCATTGGTGGCTGAGTCGGGCGTCGATTCGCGATGTAAAATCTGCGAGCTGAAAAAAGATGATCGCCTCAAGCTCCTTCAAGTCTTGACAGAGTATGAAGTCTCGGTCAAGGGCCATCAGGGTTATCGTAAGGCCGAGGTCACCGGCGGTGGTGTCATTTTGGATGAGCTCAACACGGCGACGATGGAGTCTCTCAAGGCGCCGGGAGTGTTCTTGTGCGGAGAGGTGTGCGATGTCTTCGGAAGAATCGGCGGATTCAATTTTGTTTACGCTTGGTTTTCAGGTAGACTCGCGGGGCAGAGTGCGGGGAAACTCGCGGCGGAGTAGCATAGTAGTTGGTAGTGGAAACTTCTTGCAGAAATAGCCGTACAGATGGAATTACAAGCGCACGCCTGATCGACGTGACGCTGGACAAGAGCGAGTTTACTCAGTCTCGTGCAACCAAAAGTTTATGTATTTACGCTGTACATTTGTTTCACATTAGCTTTTTTCACGTAACGATGGTGATCTGTTGGTCCTGAACCTGAATGTCAAAGTCAATGACTCGACGGAACTTTGGTGACTTGATCATCCCATGCGATGTCTCGCGTTTCAACGGCGTCGCTGGTCTCGAAGAGGGAAGCGGAAGTAGAGTCGAATGCATACCAGCGATGCGTATGCCCACCGCGTCGGATAGGTCGACCATTTGTTCTCCGTGCCCCTCCGCCGTGACTCGGCTCCATCTCACATTTCCACGATCGATGGCGAGGTTGCAAAAGTTCCCACTGAGCTCTGATCCGAAGATATCGACGTTTGCTCCACCAGAAACGGACACACCGTCGTTCGCATTCGCCAAGATGTGGCATCCTTCGACGATGACGTCAATCTCCCCAGATTCTCCGTCATCGCTCTCGTTAGTGGTGTCCAAATCCATCAAGAACGCCGAGAACTCTTCCTCAAGATCGAGTTCTTCATCGAACTCATCCGCGTGCGCAGTGAAGTAATCTCGAGTGGTGTATCGCTGAGAGATATCGATCCCGTTGAAAGCGTTCCCGCGAACCTCTGAGTTCTGAATGCGACCCCGACCGCACATGGCGACGCCGACGCTGCGGTTGTTTGCGACGATGGTGTTTGAGATGTTCGCCGTGGACGACACACCGATCGAAATGCCCGCGCCGACGTTATTCGCGATAAGATTATCGTGAATCTCACCGTGCGCGCGGTCAAACATGACCACGCCGTGAGCGTGTCCGTTCACGATGCGATTGTTCATGATCTCGACGTCGCCAGACAAGGCTGAAACGGCGGCAAACAAGCCGTTGTACCCGCGAGATGAGGACAAGACTTCAATTTCATCCAGCTCTTCATCCTCATGTCCGCTCTCGGAGCCTGTCATCGCCGCCGTGATCCTACACGCCGTGAGAGAGCCTCCTGACGTCGTTAAGAAGGAGCTTAGCACGGTGTTAATGTTGCACGCATGCACTTGCGCGATGGAGTCGGTGCCCGTCGCCACGACGCCTTCGCCCGCGCTGATCACGTCGCAGCTATCCAAGCGCAATCGCGACCCATCTGAGATGTACACACACGCCTGGTGTCCATCGCCGGATAGACTCCCGCGCTTGGTCGAGCTCTTTCGACACAGCGTGAGATTTGTCACCAACGAGCTGGCGCCGTGCGAGTTGTTCAGCGCGCGCGCCGTTATCAGCGCCGGCTGCTCGTCGCTCACGACGCGAATCTCCTCGCGCTTACCCACGCCCAAGAGTTCAATCCCTCTGGGAATAGTCAGCGAACCCTCGTACGTGCCCGGACCGAGCTCGACGACGTCGCCCGCTTGTGCGTTGTTCATCACGCGCTGCAAAGCGCTCGTTTGCATGACGCCGCCCAAAGCGGCACAATCGACTCGAATAACGCGCTTCGCCGCGACTATCGCGACACCTCTCGTAGAATATCGCTCCCTGTACGCCGAGCGCCATCCACCGCCACCTCTCCGCGCGTTCGGTCTGTCGACGTTCGCGCTCGTCCCGAACGTGGAGGCGAACGGAAGTCTCGCGCTCCGCGCCCACGTCTTCGCCGGCCGCATTCGCCACCGCGCCTCGCACAGAGTCTTCCACAGCGAATCATCCAGCGTCACCTCTCGCATCGTCCTCGAGCACCGCCCGAGCGTCTCCACGCTCGCGGCGTCCATGAACCCGCACGCGTACAACAAACAGTCCCTCGGCAACGCCTCCAGCGCCGACAGCCTCGACGCGTTCGCCCGCACCGCGTCCCCTCCGAGTCCTCCATCGCGCGCGCCCATCGATCGACCCTCACATCGCCACCCACCCCGACCTCGCGCGCCCCGAGCATCGTCCGCGCGCGCCGTCCGCGCGCCGTCGCCGTCCCGTCCCCTCCGTCCCGCCCGGCGTCCGCGCCGCGGTCGGTTCAAAAATCCACCATCCCACCCCTCGGTCGACGTCCGCCCCCTCCCGATCCCACGTCCGCACTCGCGCGTCCACCGCGCGCCGTCCGACGACCCCATCGCTCGTCGCTCACCCACGCGCGTCCGAGCGTCCGCGTCGCGCGCGTCACGATCGCGTCCAACCGTCACCGCGCGCCCATCGGTGTCCATCATCCCTCGGTCCACGCCCGCGCGCGCGCGATCGTCCGCGCGACGGCGATCGAGCGATCGACCGTGGCCCGAACGTCCACCGCGCGCGCGCGCGCGACGTCGACGCACCGGTCGCGGGCGACGCGCGTGACGACGTCGCGCGCGCGCGGTGGGCACGTCACGAGCACGCCAACGAAAACCCATCATCGGGCGAGCACGCGATACGCGAACGAAAACCCATCAGTGGGCGAGCGCGCGACACGCCAACGAAAACCCATCATCGGGCGAGCGCGCGACACGCCAACGAAAACCCATCAGTGGGCGAGCGCGAGCGGGCGAAAAAACCATCATCGGGCGAAAAAAACCATCACCGCGCGAAAAAGAAACCCCCGATCGATGCGTACAAACGACACCGCGACCGCCGCGGGGCGGGAGTGAAAAACCTCCGCGCGATCGCTCGCGCGCGGGACGACGACGCGCGCGTTCGGTGGACCCGCGGCGCGGTCGGGTGCGATGTGTGGGATCTTCGCGTACCTGAACTATAACTGCCCGAAGAGCCAGAAAGAAATCGTCGAGAAGCTCCTCACCGGATTGCGACGTTTGGAGTACCGCGGGTACGACTCCGCGGGGTTGGCGATCGAGGACGGACGCGACGCGACGGAGACGACGAGCGTGGTGTTTCGAGCGACGGGGAAGATTGCGAATTTGGAGGCGCTGTTGACGGCGAGCGAAGGGGAATTACACGGGGGGACGCACTTTGAGACGCACTGCGGCATCGCGCACACGCGATGGGCGACGCACGGACCGCCGGCGTCGAAGAATTCGCACCCGCACTCGAGCGGTGCGGATAATGATTTTTTGGTCGTGCACAACGGGATCATCACGAATCATCAGGCGCTGAGGGAGACGTTGATTCGAAAGGGGTACGTGTTCGAGAGCGATACGGATACGGAGGTGATTCCAAAGTTGACAAAGTATCTGTACGATAAATTTTCAGAAAAGTGCACGTTCAGGCAGTTGGTGATGGAGGTTTTGAGGCAGTTGCAGGGGGCGTACGCGCTGGCGTTTAAGTCGAAGCATTATCCCGGGGAGTTGGTGGCGGCGAAGAGAGGGTCGCCGCTCTTGCTCGGTATCGTGGAGGGTCCGCACCCGGGGGAGCAGCACGCGCTCGTCACGAGCGAGGGGTTCGCGCCGAACTCGAAGCGGACGAAGAGGATGTCCATGGAGTTTTATTTCGCATCCGACGCTTCGGCGATGGTTGAGCACACCAAGCGCGTGTTACACCTCGAGGACGATGACGTCGCGCACATTCAAAACGGCGCGTACGGGATTTATCGCATGGAGAGAGTGCATCACGAAGACGGCGTCGAGTCGCCGAGCCTGGCGTACGCACCGACTGTGAACTCCGCGGAGGTCGAGCGCACGGTGGAGACGCTCACCATGGAGGTGGAACAGATCATGAAGGGGAACTACGACCACTTTATGAAGAAGGAAATTCACGAGCAGCCAGACGCGATGACGCAAACCATGCGCGGGCGCGTCGTGTTCGAGCCAGACGGCAAGACGGTTCAGCGCGTGTTCATCGGCGGTATGGTGGATTATTTGAGCACGATTCGTCGCTCTAGGCGAATCATCTTGTGCGGTTGCGGGACGAGCTATCACAGCGCGATCGCCATTCGATCTCTCATGGAGGAGCTCACCGAGCTGCCCGTCACGCTCGAGCTCGCTTCAGACGTCCTCGATCGACAGTGTCCATTCTTCCGCGACGATTCCATCATTTTCATCTCGCAGAGCGGAGAGACCGCGGATACGCTGCGAGCGTTGGAGTACGCCAAGTCCAAGGGCGCGCTGTGCATCGGTATCGTCAATGTCGTCGGCTCTGCAATTTCTCGCGCGACAGATTGCGGGATCCACATTAACGCGGGCGCCGAAATTGGCGTCGCTTCCACCAAGGCGTACACGTGTCAAATCACCGCCATGGTCCTCCTCACCTTGGCGCTGAGCGAAGACTCTCGCTCTTTGCACGATCGTCGCATGGAGATCATGCGCGGTCTCGCCGACCTCCCGGACAATATGCGTCGCGCGCTGGAGCTCGATCAGCAAATGCTCTCGCTCGCAAAGACACTCGTGAACGAGAACTCTCTCTTACTCTTCGGCCGCGGATTCAACTACGCCACCGCCCTTGAAGGTGCGCTCAAGGTGAAAGAAGTCGCCCTGCTCCACTCCGAGGGGATCTTAGCCGGCGAGATGAAGCACGGTCCGCTCGCGTTGGTCGACGACACCCTGCCGCTCGTCGTCATTGCCACGCGAGACTCGTCCTACGTCAAGCAAAAGTCCGTCATCGAACAGCTCAGAGCTCGTGATGCGCGATGTATTCTCATCGTTGGCGAGAACGATGACTCGCTCGATCAATACGCGTGCGGGAAGGACATGATCATCCGTGTCCCCGAGGTCGCCGACTGCCTCCAACCCCTCATCAACATCGTTCCTCTGCAGCTCCTGAGCTACCACCTCACCGTCTTACGCGGGCACAACGTGGACCAACCGAGAAACCTCGCGAAATCCGTCACCGTGGAGTAAACATGGAAACATCACATGATTGTAACGCGCGAAAGCTCGATGATTCATTCGATCCATTCGTCGTCATCCTCCCAAACATCCTTTGCTCGCGCGTCTCGCTCGCCTCGCGCATCCGTCGCCACCGACCGCACACCGCGCCGCTCGTCCCGCGTCGATGTCCGGCTTCTGGCGTCCCGGCGCCGAAGCTCCGAGCATCAATCGTCCATCGACGCTCCTATCCCTGGAGGTCGACGCAGATGACGATGCGAACAGAGGCAGCGCGGTGGGCGTTGGAATCATCAATTTTGAGAAAAATCCCAAGCAAAGCCTCAGCGCGCGACGCCGAGCGCTCCCGATCGCCGCGCACGAGAACGAGTTGTTATACTGCGTCGAACGTCACGCGACGACGATCGTGGTCGGGCACACCGGGTGCGGGAAGACGACGCAGATACCGCAGTATTTGAGAGCGGGCGGGTGGTGCGCGAGCGGACGCGGCGTGGCGGTGACGCAACCGAGGCGAGTGGCGGCGCAGACAGTGGCGCAGAGGGTGGCGGAGGAGGTCGGGTGCGTGTTAGGGGACGTCGTGGGGTACGCGATTCGGTTCGAGGACGTGTGCGCGGAGGGAAAGACGGAGATTAAGTTTTGCACGGATGGCGCGCTGTTGAGAGAGTTGGCGGACGATCCGTTATTGACAAAGTATTCGGTGGTGATGGTGGACGAGGCGCACGAGCGCACGCTCGCCACGGACGTGTTGTTGGGGTTATTGAAAAAGGTCCAGCGTGCGCGACCGGATCTACGGTTGATCGTGTCGAGCGCGACGATTCAGGCGGAGTTGTTTGCGGAATTTTTTGACGCGAGCAGAGCCGACGCCGCCGATGCGCGCGGCGCCGACGCGGGACCGTCCAAGAAGCCCGTGATCATGTCCGTCGAGGGTCGGGCGCACGGCGTACTGATTCATTACGCCGATGAACCGACTGGGGATTACGTGCAGAGGGCGGTGGATGCGGCGCTGGACGTGCACCAAGGCGAAGGTCCGGGTGACATTTTAATCTTTCTCACGGGAGAGGAAGAGATCGACGATGCGGTGCGTTTGCTCGAGGACGAGGCGCGAGAGATGCAAAGTCGTTCAGGGAATTCGCGTAACGCGCTAGATTTAGTCGTTTGCCCGCTCTACGCGGGATTGAATCCAGCCGCTCAATTGGAGGCGTTTAGGCCGGCGAGGAGAGGAACTCGAAAAGTTGTCGTCGCCACAAACGTGGCGGAGACGTCCGTCACGATCGAGGGCATCGTGTACGTGATAGATTGCTGCTTCTCTAAGCAGAAAGCGTTCGATCCCGAACGCGGGATGGAGAGTTTGTTCGTCGCTCCGGTGAGCAAGGCGAGCGCGAACCAGCGCGCCGGAAGAGCCGGGCGCGTTCGCCCGGGTAAGTGCTTTCGCCTGTGCACCGAGATCGACTATCGAGCGTTGGCCGACGTCACGGCGCCAGAGATCGTTCGAAGTGATCTAGCGAGCGTGGTCCTGCAAATCAAAGCCATGGGGATAGATAATATTATGAATTTCGAGTGGGTGTCGCCGCCGCCCGAGGCGAACATGATCAAGGCGCTCGAGCTCCTGTATGCGCTCAAGGCTCTGGACGACGACGCCAAGCTCACGAACCCGCTCGGGATTCATCTAGCCGAATTACCCGTCGATCCCCAGCTCGGGAAGATGCTCCTCGTGAGCGGAGAGATGGAGTGCGTTCGAGAGGCGCTCACGGTTGCGGCGTACCAGCAAGTGCGCTCGCTTTGGGTCACGCACCGCGGGCAGAAGAAACGACTGGACGAAATGCGCAATCGTTTCGCCGTGGAGGAAGGGGACGCGGTGATGATGCTGAACATTCACGACGCGTACCGCGACGCGCGAAATCAAGCCAAGTTTGCGGGCGAAAACATGCTCAATCACCGAGCGCTTCTTCGCGCCGGAGACATTCGCGCGCAGTTGAGACGGCACCTCGCGCGGCTCGGCGTTCTCACCGATTCGTCGTGCGGAGACGACACGATTCCGATTCGTCGCGCCATCGCGGCTGGTTTCTTCGCCAACGCCGCCGCGCTGGCACCGTACGGAGGCGGTGCCGACGGTTCCGTCTTCCACTCTCTTCGCGCGACGACGGCGCGCGCTCGGGCGCGCGAGCTCCGCGTCCACCCGAGCTCCGCCCTCTTCCACGCCCGTCCACCGTGCGTGGTGTACTGCGCCGCCGTGCGCACCGATCGCGAGTACATGCGCGACGTCACCGTCGTCGACCCATCCTGGCTCACCGAGCTCGCCCCGCACTTTTACGAGGCGAGGGTTACGTAGGACATAGCTCGCGCGCACGCATCGCGTCGGTCGTCGCGTTGCCGTGTGCCGATTCGCCTCCCCTCGTTGATCGATAGGCGGCTGGCTGTCCTCGCCAAAATGCTCAGTCCCGGGGGTCGGACGCGCGTCGGTGTTGGAAAAGGGCGGAACGCGCCGTCGCGGACGGCGGATGAATGCGATGGTCGCCCCCGTGCCCCGTGTTTTACCCCCTTTTAGCCATTGTACCCCTCGTCACGCTCTCGATGTTTTCTTGATGGCCGACAAATCAGGAGACGTTTAGGGTATTTTGTATTCTAGACCCTAATTCTAGGGGAATCGACGCGTCGCGTCCGCATCGGACGCCGAGCGGCACACCCCGCCGCGATGCGTCCGGTGGCGACGCGTCGCGGCGGGGGGCGACGCGATGCGGACGCGAAAAAAAAAAAAAAAAAACGCGACGCGATGCGGACGCGCGCGACGCGACGCCTGCGACGGCGACGACGCGTCGTCGCGTCGGCACTCGGCGCGCGCGCGATTTCGAATTGGAATCGCGCGACGGCGGCGCGCGAATTCGCCTCGAACGCGAACGTTCCGTGCGCGCGCGCGCGACGACATCGACGAGGGAATAAAGGTACGTCTCGTTCGCGGACGATGCGCGGCGCGACGCGGAGTCGCGGCGCGGAGAGGGGGCGATCGGTCGAGATCGCATCGCGCGCGCGCTGTTCCCCGGTGGCGCGTGCATCGCGCCGCCGGGGAGCGCGCGAGCGCGCGATGACGACGGGCGCGCGCGCAAGGATGCGTCGATTTGTTTCACGTCGCGGTGCGCGCGCGCGGGCGACGGCGTCGACGACGGTGACGCGTTCGTTCGATGCGCGCCGATGGCGGATTAATAACTAACTGTCCGCCGTGGACGCGCAGGACGGGAGCAATGCCGCGGGGATACCGCGGTGGATACGACTACGCATTCGCGGGGTGGAGGAAGCGAAACCGTGAGGCATTCACGGAAGCGTCATCTGCTGCTAACGCACGTGTTGGTTGGCCAGTCGGGGGTCGCGGTGGCGCGGATGCCAAAGCTAAAGCCAAAGCCGAGGCGGACGCCGAGTCGGATGCGGCGAACGCGCGCGTCGCGTTCGCGGCGGAGGCGACACGCGTCGCTCTCGGCGACGTCACGAACGCCGCGAGGCGAGACGAGGCGGCGCCGAAGGCGGCGAGCGGAGTCGGATTGGAGGCGCCGGTGGAGAACGACGCGCCCAAAGATACCGCTGGTGGTGTCGCGACGGCGACGACGCTCGCGTTGAAATACGTCACACGCGCCGCCGGGGACGGACTCGGAGGAGCACCGGTCGTCACCTTGGAGGTGTTTAATGCCGAATTGTGCGCCAAGACCATGAACAATGAGACGGTGCGCGGCGTGGATTTCGAGAGCATCATCTCAGACATTTACTCGCGCGTCTCACCGAGCGCGTGCGCGCCGGACAGGTTCGCGCGTTGGCTCGCGAGAGGAGCGCCATTGTTCGCGGCGACGGGGCTGCCGAAGGTCGACATGATGGATGATGATGAAGCGTGTCGCCAACGTGCATTTCGACGTACCACCAGTTCAACAAACGCACAGTGGTCCTCCCCGCTCAACGCGGCGGAGTCAAAGTATGCGTGTCAAAATCTTAACGCGGTTCGCGTCGCGGCGATGGCGCTGGACGCGAGCGAATTCGAGTTGCGTCAGGCTTTGGAAAAGGTCGAGACGGCCACGGGATCGATGGCGCGATATCTGAACGTACGCGGGTGCTATCACTACAGAATTCGCACCGACGACGGACTCGTGTTCGCGTACGTCGGGGAAAGTATCGATGTAGAGCGACGAATCAACGAGCACTTGACGGCGCTGCTCGGCGACGGGCGCGCGCACGACATGCAGCGAGGACACGCACTCGTTCGACGAGCCCAAAAGGGCGACGACGACCATGCTGATGCTGATTTTCAATGCAGTGTGTGGGTCATTCACGGACAGGATGAAGCGAGCGCGGTCGAGTTGGCGAAGACGTACGTGAAAACGTGCACGTCGACGCCGTCGATTTTGGAAGTCGCGCGCGCGATTGCGAGTGCCGGATTCTTCGTCGAAGCGGTATTCACCGCGCACTACGGGACCTTGCACGAGCACACCGCGGACGGCGTCATCGGAATGAACTTTTCTCAGCCCGGTGTGTGCCATACCAGGGAGGTCACCCGCGAGTATACGTGGAACGAGATCAGAGAGACATTCGGAAAGAAGACGCGATGTACGAAGACTTTGCCGGCGTTCACGTGCGGACGGTGCAACAGAGATTTTCCGCAAGGAAAGACGCGAAGTAACTCCCACGGAGACGGCCATGGACGCGTGTGCGACACTTGCTACAAAATCGCTTTGTATGCAAAGAAGCCGCAGTTTCAGTGCCTTGAGTGCGACAGAGAGATGCAAGGGAAACGAAGTTACCTCGGAGACGGCGATGGACGCGTGTGCGCAAGATGCTACAAAATCGCTTTACTCGCGTCAAAACCGCCTTTTCGGTGCAAAATTTGCGTTGGGGATTTTCTGCAAGGGAAACGAAGTTACCGGCACGCAGACGGCCATGGCCGCGTGTGCGTTGGGTGCTACCAAAAAGCAAGCAGGGCGAATCAGCCACCGTTCACGTGCGCGCTATGCTCGCATGCGGTTTCTCGAGGGAAGCGGAGTCATCCCCAAAGAGATGGTGACGGGCGCGTGTGCAAAGCTTGCTACAGGAAATGCCTCGCGTCCACCCGCGAAATGTGATACGAGTAATAACTTTTGTAACGGGTAATCGGTGAAGAACTGAATTCAATGCAAGCTCTTTGATTAAAAATTAAAAGCCTTCGCAAGGTCAAAAAAGTTTGTCTCCCCTAAGCGACGACACGCACCCACACAAAAGATACGGCTCAGTCTCGACGCGTCCGTCGACCGCGCGACGTCGTCCCGTCCTCTCGCTCGCGCCCCGCGCGCCGAACGCGGCGGCCGACGACACCCGCTCGGTTCCCCGCCTCGGTGTCGCCGACGCCGCAGCGGCGCCGCGCGCGAGCCTCCGCCCGCGCGCGCGCGCCGACCGCGTCCTCGTCGCGGACGAGCGATCCGCGGAACTGTTTGATTCGGGACGACCGGCGATCGACGCCCGCGCCGGCGCGTCGCCCCCCACGGCTTCGTTGACAAGCGGGCGCGACCCCACCCGGGTGAGGGTTTATAGACCACCGGTGGTTGACCTCGTGCGCGCTCGAGAAGTCGTGGGGATAGTTACGGGTACTTTTTCATCGTGCATCGTGCATCGACCCATCCGTCGCGTCGTCGTCGCGATGGGCGATCGCGTCGACGCCGCAGGTGCGCGCGCGCGTCGGGCGCGGTCGACGCGGACGCGGGATCGGCGATCGCGCGGACGAGGGCGACGCGTCGCGGGCGACGGGGCGCGGGTGTGGGCGAGCGATCGATTCATCCATCGACGCGATGGCGTGGCGGGCGATTCGTCGGGGTGGGGCGACGACGACGACGCGTGGGTCGTTCTCTGGCGCGCTCGCGACCGAGGGGCGGGGTGGGAGTGAGAAACACGGAAGTGGGTGGACGCGGGACGCGGTGGAGCGGGGGGAGACGGACGCGGCGCACGTGGAGGCGCTCGTGGCGTCGAAACGCGGACGGTGGTTGGCGCTCGAACGCGGAGAGAACGATGGGTGGGCGCGCGGGGCGGATGTGGAACGACGCGCGCGGGAGTGGTACGATGATGATGATGCGGAACGAACGCGCGGGAGCGATGGGGGATCGGTGGGGGGGTCGGATGATGGGGAGACGGATGACGGCGACGCGCGGCGACGGGCGGAGCGCGAGACGTCGACGTCGGACGTCGCGACGGATGGGTCGTTGATGCAGCTCTACGACGGTGGAATGCGAGGGATGCCGCCGATGCCGGGTTCGTTGGCGCTCCCGAGGACGCCCGCGAGCGCGCTCGCGCGTGAAGGGGCGACCCCGGCGGTGTCCGCGACGGCGGCGGCGCGGGAGGCGCGCACGGTGCGGTTCACGCTTCAGGTGTCCGACATCTCATTCGAGGTCGGGGCGCTGGAGACGATCGAGGGAACGATGGCGCTGTACGATTTGCAGGCGCGAGTCAAGCTGAGTGAAAATTTTCTATTCTCTTGGCCGAACGCGAAAAACGCCAAGCAAACGGCGGCGTTCACGATCCCCGCCGAGTCCGTCTCACCAAACATACGACTCATCGCACACCTCACGCACCTCGTACCGGACGAGGGTGGGATCGAGGATAAGGTGTACACGCATAAGGATCTGCGTAAGGCGAAGGCGCACGCGGACAAAGAGCGTCAACGCGTGCTCGGCATCGAAGTCCTTCGTCAGCAAGCGGCGCAGACAAGTAAACCACCTCGATCGGTGACTTCAGTGCATTCATCAGAGGGCAGTTCGCAGCTTGCCGCAAACGAGGTGGAGAACACGACGCTGTCAAAAAGACGGAATACGCTTGCGTGGGCAGTTTTGCCAATTTTTGACGCGCGCGCCGGCGGCGCCATCGGCGCCTCTTCACTGCTCGAGGAAACGAGTTGTACCGAGATGTATAGAGTGAAGGAGAATTACAATGAAATGTCTCTACTGGATGCGGCGCTGTCGTCCGGTACGAATCACTCGTTGAAATCACACAAACCGATTCGATGCAAGATGCAGTGTCTCTTGAGTCCGCTGAAAATGTCATCTCCCGGCGTGGAGATGACAAACGGCGCCGCGACGAACGGGTCCACTAACGCCGCTGGTGTCACGTTCGTTAAAGAGCTTGTTTCGTTCACGCATAACACGGCGCTGGACTGGGAGATGGCGTGGGGAGGAGCCGTCGACGACGGCTTGTCGCGCGACCTGTACGTCTACGTGAAAATATTGGACATCGGCAAGCGTCAAGATCTTCGCGTGCGCGTGCAGCTCAGAGATGACGACCTGGATATCGACGGTAAGGGCTTACTCGCGTTTCCGTCGCCGTGTGGCCGAGGTCTCTGTCGGGAAAGCTGGACCACCATGAGTCGTCTGCGAGCAAAGGGTGGAGTTTTCCATCACGAGGCGCGTGTGCGATTACCAGTACGACTAAATCCTTCGCATCACATTGTGTTGAGTATTTACGGCGCACAGAGCGCCACGACTGGTATATTCGGTACGAATGCTGGTCAAGAGGAGTTGCTCGGTCATTCAGTCATAAAACTTTGCGACCAACCTGAAACGTTGGCGGCAAACATTGCGAACGCGGCGACTCCCAGCGGAGGCGACATGAGTCTTGTCGCCGTTCGTGAGCTTTTACCAAAATATTTGCAGTCGAATGTCCGGGCGCACATGCCTTACTGGGAGGACCGAAAAGAGTGCGTACACGTGCGCCTTCGGCTCGCGTCTACGATGCACACAGGAGATGTCCATGTTGGCGCTCTCTTCTCCGCGTGCGCAGCGTGGGGCGATACTCAAACGCCCGAGACAGAGGATAAATTGCGAGTTGCCGTGAGCGAACTTTCACTCGCGAAGGACAGAGCGTTAATTCAACACTTGCCAGCCATACTGAATCTTCTGGTTAGCTTGGCGCTTAGAGTGGCCGATCCCGAGCCCGAGGAGCAAGAGGAGCAACTCAGCTCGCGTCTGAGTCGGGATTCGCGTCGAGGAGCAGATGACGACGACATGGTGTCGCTTCAATCCGGACTGAGTGACGATCTAGGTGGAAGCGTTGATTTGGGCAAGTACAACATGGATTCAGCCCTTCCGAAGAATGATTTACTGGACGAAACACGGGACATGGGCACGTTGGCTTTTCACACTCTGGTGCGCATTGTCGCTCAAGTCCAACGCATCGATCCAGGTCCGAAACCGGCAGTCAATGGTGTGGTGAGTCATAGTCCACCTCTGGAAGCGTACGTGACGCTAGCCTTTGGTTCCCTCGAGCGTTCATCTAGCAAACATTTGTCCAAGCTGCAACTGGCTGGCACCTCGCGAGGAGCGGGGACACCAATCCACACGATTCTTGCGAGACGTTACTCGGCTGTGTTGGCGGCGACGAGAGAGTCCTACATTCCATACGAGGAAGCCTTGTCGATGTCTTGGTTCTTTCTAGGTATGATTCATAGAGCTGTCGCGCTCGAGCGTGCGCAGTCTCCGAGCAACGCAATTTCCGTCGAAAACGATGAATTAGCCTTAACGCAGATCATTGACATTTTATCGAGTGAAGTGAAGACGCGAGGTGAGCAAAATGCACCCCAGAATCCGGATCTCGAAAAGGCAAGAAATTTGAACTGCGGGATAGCCATGTTCTTATCGTTGCTCTTTGCCATTCCTGGGATAAAAAAACAACCCAGCGCGAGCAATGGAAGTACAATTCTTCTCGGCCGCGCTGGTCCTCTCGCATCGCTGGCGACTCGGCTGGCCTCGATGCACATTAAGAATCTCAGCGCGAGTGAGGGTAACTCCGTGCACACCGCTTTGCTCCGAGAATTTTACGACACGCTCTGCTCCTCACCAGTTATCTTGGACATCATCACTGCATCGGCCGTGAACAATGGCAAGAACGGATGGAGTCCAGAGGACGGGAAGTTCGGAGCTGGCGATGGTCTCATCGATGCTTTCACTGACGCGATGCGTCTGAATTTGTGCACGACTGACGTGAGTCGTCCGAAAAGTAACTTGAGAGCGGCGTGTGCTGCACGCATTATCGCAGCCGCACTCACAAGGCATGCGTGGGATCGCTCATGGCAGTCCGCCGGAGCGAGACGATCCATCGCGGCGGCGTACGCGCCGATTCTGCGACTTCTCATAAACAACCGTCAAACCATCGAAGAATTACCACTCGTAGCGCGAAGAGATGCTCTTGTTAGCGTACTCATGCTAGCTCGAGACGCCGACACTGCCAAGATGTGGGACTGGCTTCGTGCAGACGCTTCTCGCATGAAAAACTTTGTGAGCATCCTTTCTATGGCCGCCAAGGACTTTGCATACGAGCGCGATGAGAGCGATACGTGGTCACCAAGCGGACCAGTCTCTCTAGCTCAAGGCGTAATGCATGCGGACTTAGATGGAAGATCGCAGGCCGGCCATCTCAACACGTGTGTGTACAAAATTATCCTTCGAATCATTCGCGAATGGCAAGAGTGCAGTAGTCCAAACTCAAAATGGGGTGTCATTCGAGTCGCTCGAGCAATGGGTGTCATGCGGAGTAAGGTTCAAAATCCGAATAAGACGGTACGCATTCAAGGATTGAGTACCAAGTCGTCACCTTCGTCAATTTCTTTAGATGACTCCACGAGAGAAGAATCAGATGAAGACGTTGACGAATTTGAGTCGTTCAACGCTTTGGAAGGATTTCTCGGAGTGATGCTCGCCATCTTATCGAGACCGCAGAGCGTATCCTCGTGGCAAATGGCAGCTCCCATTTTGAATGCGCTCATTCGAGAGCACAGAAAAGTGCTCATGGCGTCTTTGCATCCTCGGAAAGAGCAAGACCCGGTGGAAGAGTATCCGCCAAAGCCTGCCGATGCGCCTGGCATTACGCCGTATGCGTTCTTGCAAGGGGCTGCCATCGCCGTATTCAAGGCGGCAGCTCGTCCCCCACCGGTTCGAGAGCTCGCGGTTGCTAGCTTACGCACGATGTTAGAGGCGGCAGTGGATGTGTTTGGAACGAGTGAGCAGCTGTGTCCCACGCTCATTTATGCGATGCACGCCGCGTTTTTCCCGCTCCGTCCTATTTCGTGCCAGGAAGGCTTGTCTCTTTCGTTGCAGACCCTGAAGTCTGGAACCGAGGTGAGCCCGACCGGTTGGAATAACTCGGTCAAAGGCACACTTGGCACGCTGGACCGCGCGGAAGAGTGCATTCGGCGTCTTGCGGATGCGACAATAAACCCACGAAGCACGCTCAACGTCCCACGTGCGGCGGAGCTTGAGGCAGAGCTCGCACTCGCTCTCAAGTCGTCCCCAGCTGCTCACGTGAAGGTCCTGTGCTCTCTATCTAGCAGACTTGCCAGCGCGGAACACTGGGTCGAGGCGGCCGAAGCGTCGACTGCGGCTGGCATTATCGCGATGCAAGCATTTTCAATCGCGGCGCCAACGCAGTGCGTGTGGTTTGACCATGACGTGCAATCTTTGCGAGATTCTTTCTTTGCACTGACGGAGGAAACTTCACCGGTTCCCGCGGTGGCGGGAATTCGCTGCGGTACTGAGGAAATCAACGAAGAAGCGATTTTGTCCCATCTCTCGAGAGGTGTGGAGTTGTTCACAAGGGGCAGCCACCTCGAAGCGGCTTTGAGAGTCAACGAAACGGCTCAAATTTCGTGGGAGACACACAGACAGTTTGGTTCGTTGAGCGAATCACACGCGATGATGGCCGAACTTTTCAAACGTTTGGAGGCTACGTCCGGTGTCGGTGATCCTAAGAGATTCGAGTGGGACATGCGAGGAAAGCCACCTCCTGAACCAGCAACGTTTTGGCGCGTGCGCTTACTCGGTGATCTGTGGGATGATATGCAAGACTCTGAATGGATCTACCGCGAATGCAACGATCGCACGTTGGGAGAGATGAATAAAAAAATTATCTCACAGTTATCGAGCTATCTACCGAGTAGGGCGCAGATCAAGGTTCTGTCCACAACCTCAGACACTTCGATGGACGAAGGATGCGCAGGCGTGCAGATAACTGCAGTGCAAAGACGAGCCATCCCTCTTGCCCAGAATGCCATCGGAGGAGGAGTTGGCGGCATGGCATTTTCCGGCTGCTCCACGTTCACGTTCGACACTCCCGTTTTGTTCACTGAGGATGGAGAGATGAGACCATCGCAAGTCCCCATTTCTGCATCGCTTCGGTATCAAGGACGGAGACGCACCACCATCACAGTTAAAGGTCGATTTCCCGGTCTTCTCCCTCGCTTGCGCGTGCTCGACTCCAAAGTAGAAGAAATGAATCCATGCCAAAGTGCGATTCAGATGCTCGAAGAGCAGACGGTCGCTCTTTTAGCGGCGGCGAATGCGCGCAAGCCACAGGCTGAGCTCCTGCAGCGTTTGTTACAAGGTTCGCTTGCGGCTGGCGTGAATGGAGGAGTACCCTCTTTGATCAACTCATTCTTCGAAACCGAGTTACCAAGTGCGATAGTGAGAAGCAACCAAGTCACCGCGGCGCAGTTCTTGACGCCGACGCGTACCATCAGTTTACTTCCCGAGCCGCAAACGCCTGAGTCGCGCAGCACAATGCCTCGCACTCCCATTTCACTGCACAAGAGAGTTTTGAGCGAAACCGCGGTCCCGATGGGTATGGGAATCCCGCTCGATACCCCAACGAGCGCTTCATATCCGTCACCGTCCACGTCATCACTGTCGCCGAATATGAAGGCACCGCCACCATCTCCGGCGTCTGTGGCAATGACGACACCGATTTCAGCAGTGACAGTATCGCCTGGTACTCCGGCGCCATCTTTGTCGCGCGCAGACAGCGTTCAACTCGTTCGTTCGCTCTGGAAACTTTATCGAGCATGCTGTAAGGTTCTCGACACGCACAGGGCACTCGATCAACCGGAAAGTTTGGAGCAGCTTTTCGTGACGGCGATTCAGGATTTGCGCGTAAGCATTGAAGCGGTCGAGTCTGACATCGACTTTCAACAGGATGACGTCGCGACGCCGGCCATCTCTACATAGGATGCCACTGTTATCATATTACATATCCGTTCATTCGCATCGCGCGCGCGTCATTAATACATATCTTTCAGCTTGAGAAGATGAAATCCCAGCTTTCGTCGTCTTGCGAATCTGAATCGGTTCCTCGCAACGCTGTTTCAGTGGCGAGCACCATTGGACAGGTTCTGGCGTAGTGTCCCAGTTCGCCGCACTTTCGGCAGCGGTCACCAGGTTTCGGGCCAGGTCGCTCGTCTTCCGATCTCGTGTCCGGGAGCGTGCACTGGCTTGCCCAGTGTCCTTGCTGTCCGCATCGGTTACATATGTCATCCTTGTGCAAAGACTTCTTACGAGAGCGAGAGTTGGGCGAGCTTCCCTCATTCGGCATCTCGAAATCCTCGAAATCAACAATTTTGCGCACGGCATTGTCCAAACCCGCCAACCGATAGCGCTTAGTCTGCTTGTCCATGACGATTGTCGTTTGCTTCAATCTCGCTGGCGAAGAAGAATATATCGGTGTTGATGAACTCTTGTTCGGCGTGCAGGGACTTCGATTTCCGTCACGCGCGACCGTGTAGTATTCCTCAATGTCACGTCCAACGCAGCCTTCGAAGATGATGTGAGCCTTGAGGCACAACGGCGCGTTGTCACCCGGAACATTTGAACAATTGAATCTTCCGTGCAAAACGACCGAGGAAGCTTCCTGAGTCAAATCTACATTGAATTCTCTGATTGGAATCCGCTGAATGTAGAGTAGCCGGTCATCGTGTTCGCTTCCGACAAATATCGTTCCTTGATATTTCTTAGGGAGGTGATTAGTGCACAGTTTGCTCGATGAAGTATCCTTGAAAGAAATTGTAACGTCGATGTTGTAGATCTCCTTTGACACGACGTGATGAGACATCTTAATCTTCAGCTCGGACGGAAAGTCCTTAACATCACCCTGCAGCGTGTTCCCGAAGGGAAATTGCTTTTCAACCTTCATTTCGATTCGTCGAGGGTCAGCGGCTTCCACGTCTTGGAATGTCGTGATCTTCGCCAAGGCGAGCTTTTTGACCATGTTCTTCATTCGAGCGTGCTTGAGCTGTGAGACGTGCATGTTTGAGTCTGGCCACTTTTGCACGTCAATCCCTTTGGCGAGAGCGAATGCGTTCACCGCGGCAGAGAACGATTGCACCGACTGATAATATTCCGAAGCCGCGCGCATGATGCGAGTTCCCAGATGGAAAATCTTTTCGCCCTCCATGCGCATCGACGGTAGGAGCGAAATCGTCGGCTCAATGATATCAGTGAGAGCGTACTGCGCGACGAGATACAGCTTTTCTCCCCCGGTTCTGATGACTTTTGCAATTGATAACTTCTTCCCCTTCGGTGACGCCTCCTGCACCGGGAATCGGACGATACGTTGTTCTTGATTGAGCTCCTTCAACAACTTTCGTTCGTCTCGACGAAGCTTGACGTTGCAAAGCTCTTCGCTCTCACACAGCATTTTCAGAAAGTTCGCGTAAGTCGGACTTGCGACATTCTTCATAATATTCTTCATCGTGTTAAATCGTAAATAGCGAAGACTCATGATGTCACCAGCCCTGAGCGGTCGCAATGAGTTCCCAACCATTTCGCACATCCCAGTAGAGACGAGTTCGTGGATCGTTGACTCAATCGATCGCTTCACAGCGTCTTCCGCATCTCGCTGAACTCCGTACTTTTGCGGTGCGTGTGAAGTTCGAATGTAATAAAATGTACTCTTGACCCAGTCGAACGCGTCGTCAATGGAGTTGATAGTTCGACAACTTATCTCTGCGTTCAAGTACTCGGGCAAGGAAGCGCCAAGGCTTGATTCCAGTGGAAATCGGCCGTGCACTAAACCTTCGTAACGACCTCGCATAGAATTCTTTGTCATCACGACAGCAACACCTTCGGTGTCGTACTGAGGACGACCGGCTCGACCGATCATTTGAAGCAGATTATCCATGGAAAGCTCTTTGTATGTACCGCCGCCGTCATAGACTTGCGTCCCAGCCACGACGGCCAAATATGCTGGAAGGTTGACGCCCATGGCCAGCGTGCTCGTGGAGCACAAAACAATAATCAAACGGTCGCGAAATAGCTGCTCAGCGAGCTCACGATCCTCTCGCTCCAGACCGGCATGATGAAACGCCACGCCCGCGGCGATGCACTCACCCAGACCCTTGTTCTTCGCTCGCCTCGCAGCCTCTTGCAGGAGATGCGCACAACTCGGATTTACGTACACGTTACCATTGTTGCGAGAAGCCACGACTAATTCCTTCGCGGTCTGCAGGGCGTTATCGCGTGAACCCAAGAAGACGATTGTCTGCTTTCCTCGGTAAAATTCTTGTATCACGCCGTAGACGTGCTGCTTTAAGAATTTGCTGAAGAGAAAGTCATTCGTTGCGTCTCGAAAACTCCTCACAAAAGTTTGAAGCTTGACTGGTCGAAACTCCTCTCCGAACACAAAAGTGCCCTCGGGACCGGCATCGAGCCACTGCGCAAGATTCTCGATGTTTGGTATCGTAGCGCTCACCGCTCCGAATCGCACGTTTCGTAAATGAGACTGCAAGAGAGCCGCGGACTTCGACAAGAGCTTCAAACGACTCACGATGGCCTCCAAACATCCACCACGATCGTCACCGATGAGATGCACTTCGTCTATAAGCACAGCGGCGACGTCGCTGAAGAATGACATCCCTCCTCTGTTCGCGTCCAAGCGCGTCACTCGATCAAATTTCTCCGGCGTCGCCAAAATCACATCCACATTTTCAATCTCTCCCCACACGTCTCCTCTGTAATTCTGATCACTAGTGAGCTCCACGAATGTGATACCGATCCTTCCCAATCGCTGCTTCCATTCTCTCGCCTTCTCGCTCACGAGCGCTCGATTCGGCGCGAGATAAATGACCCTGCGCGCGAAATCGGTCAGTGTCTCGTCGCGTCGATGTCTACGATTCACACGTACTTCCTCCTGTTCGGTCCGTTGATCCCCCCGCTCGCCACCACACTCGGCCCTCGAAGAGCCGCTAACATCGCCAGCTCGAACACCGTCGTTTTCCCGCTCCCCGTCGGCGCGCCTGTTCGTCGATCGAACCAGTCGTCGTCAGTCTCTCGGAACGCGGCACCTCTCGCGCGCGCTCGCTTTACGCACTCATCACGAACGACCGTCGCGAGTTCACCAAAAACTCCAGCATCTCGCTCTGTAAACTATTGAAATACCTACGACGAACGTCCCCGTCGATCGAACGCGTCGTCAGTCACCCCATCGCGCGTCCGACGCCCGCTCTCGCGCACCTGAAATCGAACGCTCTCGAGAGTTCCGACGGTTCAATGTCCGTCGTCGCTCGCAGCGCCTCCCGCCGCGCGCGCGCGTACATCCCACCGCGCGCGCGCGCGACGCGCGTTTCACGTCGCGACGCGCTCGCGATCGCGCGCGCGCCGGTCGCGCGCGGCGTCGTGCCGTCGTCGTCGCGCCGCGCCCCGGTTGCGTCACACGTGTGATGTCCACATGGACGTAAAGGCACCACAGTACGACACCCATCGATGCCGTGGGCGTCACCCAGGGTTCACGACGATGACGATTGTTTGAAATCGCCCCACGCCTCGACGTCGTCGACCGCACCGCACCGCGCGCGCGTGGGCATGCGCCACGGGCGCGCGAGGGCGTCGACGGACGAACCCACCGCGAGGGCGACGACGGACGAACCCGCCGGGACGTCCGGCGATGCCGGGCGGTTCGAGTACGAGATCGCGTTAGGGAGCTCGGGGTGGTTGTTCGTGTACTACGTGGGCGTGGTGAAAGCGCTGCGGGAACGCGGCATGGCGAGGTGCGAGGGGTGCTTCGACGTCCATCGACGCGGTGTGGACGATGTCGGACGCGCGCGGAGGACGTTCGGGCGCGCGTGATGGATGCGATGACTGACTGGCTCGACGGCGCAATCGTGTCGGCGACGATAGGAAGACCAAGGTGTACGGAACCTCCGGTGGGGCGCTCTCGGGGGCGCTGTTGTTCATGGATTGCGATTTGGACGCGTTGGCGCAGTATGTGTACATATGCGCGGCGCGAGCGCGGAGGAGCGTGTTGGGAGCGTTTCAGTTGAGGGCGTATTGTCGAGGCGCGATGACAGAGTTTTGTGATCCGAGGGCGCACGAGTTACTGAGCGGGCGATTACAGGTGTCGATCACGAGGATTTTTCCGTCGTATAAGAATCTTCGAATCAGTGATTACCCATCGTACGATTTCTTGATCACCGCGCTGCTGTGCTCGGCGTGCATCGTGCCCTTGAGCGGGTTACCAATTTGGTTGCGCGGTTTCGGTTTGTGCCTGGACGGCGCGGTGTCGGACATGCAAGTGTGGAAGGGATTCAAGCCGGACGGCACGTTCAGCAAGCTCCACTGCAAGGCGGCAAACCCAAACATCGTCATCGTGAATCCATTTTATTCCTCGCGCGCAGACATCAAGCCGAGCAAGTACATTCCAATCTGGTGGTGCTTTTACCCGCCAGAGCCGTACAAGCTCAAGCAACTGTACGAGATGGGATACAAGGATGCGAACGCGTGGTACGAGCGCACACACGGACTCTCGAAATCGTCCGCATCGCCGTCAGCGCGCGAGTCTGACGTCGACACGGGATCACCCATCGCGGAGCAGCAGAGGAGTTGGGCGACAGAGTGTCAGGATTGGGCGAGTCAGAGCGCAGAGACAGCGGCGCGGCGCGCGGCGGCGGCAGCAGAATCGGCTCGACGCGCGGCAGCTCAACACGCCGAAGAGTTCGGCGCGTTTATGAAGCACGAAGCTGAGCTCGTGTCGCGTATGACATTCAAAGCCGCAGAGGTCGCCTCTGCGGCCGTGCAAAGCGTGAACCAGATGAAGTCTGACGACTCTCAGAGCTTTGCCGAGCGCGCCGATGCGGCGGCGCATGCCACCCTCGACGCGTTTGTCGTGGTTGGAAAGGGTTCGATAATCCCTTTCAGGCTCGTCTTAAAGGTCGTGGCGTGCTTGCTCGTTTACTCCGAGCTCGTCATTCAGTCTCTCATCGCGCTTGCCGGCGCGACGGTTGCGGCCATCGTTCCAGGACGAGATGACGGAGGGGCGCTCTGGAGACGATGCCAGGCGTGCTCTCAGCCGCTCCCGCGTGTCTTGCTCCAAGCAGTGCCCGGAATCAAACTTGAGGCGAAGATTAACGAGAAGACGGCGAAACAGCTCGGTGAGCTCTCGGCGTTGTATCGACTCCTATGCTATCTGGTGCACATGAATGAGCGCGAATTCGATGTGTTGAGGAAACGTTTGAGCGCCTCGCGCGGTCTCAACGAGCTCGATCACACCGTGGAATAAAACTTAGACTTGTGAAAACGTTCGAAAGGGTAACTATGATGTGGATTCATCGTTATTTCGTATTAATAAACTTGGCATTCGACGAGGCGTCAGCGGCGCGATTCTTTTACCACCACGGCTTCTCGCCATCCGTGCCGGCGACGCGGATGCCATCGCTGCCCGCAACGATGACTTGGTAAGCCATGTCGACGAACAAACCGTGATCAACGACGCCGACGCAGTTCTTGAGCTGGCTCGCGGCCGCGACCGGATCCTTGATCGGGGACTTGAAGTGCAAGTCGACGATGTAGTTGCCGTTATCCGTAACCGCGATGTTATCGCCGTCGATCTTGTTGTTCGACGAGGATCCCATGCGGAGGATGGCCTCGCAACCCGCGAGCGCGGGCAACTTTGCGATCGTACGCAGCGTGTGCATGTGGCAGAACGGCGTGATCTCCACCGGCAACGGGAATCCCGGTCCGAGTCCCTTGCAGAGCTTGGACTCGTCGACGATGACGACAAACTTCTTCGCCATCACCTCCACCATCTTCTCGCGCAACAGCGCGCCGCCGCCGCCCTTGACCAACGCCAACGCCGGATCCACCTCATCCGCGCCATCGATCGCGACATCGAGTTCCGACTTCTCGTTCAGCGTGCACAACGGAATCTTCAGCGATTCCGCCTGCTCGCGCGTGCGCTCGCTCGTCGGGATGCAGATCACATTCTTCAGCTCCCCGCTCGCCAGCTTTTGCCCGACGCGCTCGACCGCGAAGTACGCCGTCGATCCCGTACCGAGACCGACCACCATACCGCTCTCGACGTGATCGTCCACGGATTTATATCCGACGAGCTTTTTTAATTCATCCTGCGTCATCGCCGCCCGCGTCGACATCACCCGCGATCGCGTCCGACGCGCGCCTCCACGACCCTTTCCGAGCGTTCGCGCGCGCGGGACGAACGTACCGCGCGTCACCGACGACGTCGCGCGCATCTAGACGACGACGCGCGTCGACGTGCGCGGTCGCGCGCGTCGGCGTCGCGATCGACCCCTCACGGCGTCCATCACCGTCACGAGTCACGACCCCTGCGCACCTTTCGATTTCCCGATGTCACCGATGCGATCGGTGACATCCAACGAAAACCACCGGTGCGGCGTCCCGGTCGAATCACCGGTCGACGTCTGACGCCGCGACATCGCGCGACGCCGCGCGCGATGGCCGCGCGCGCGTCCGCGGACGACGCCGCGGACGCCGAGCGCGCGTTCCCGTCGTGGGTGCGCCTGGTCGCGAGCGACGTGCGCGCGGCGGTGCGCGAAGGCGCGTGCGAGGCGCGGACGCATCGATGGCGCGAGACGGACGTCGTCGGCGCGCTCGTGCGCGCGGTGCGCCGCGGTGCGGGCGATCGAGGGGTGGGACGGGTGTTCACGGCGGCGAATGAACGCGGGTGCGCGGCGCTCGTGGGCGAGGACGCGGAGACGGTGGACGGGGGGGGGGGCGGGACGCGCGGCGGCGTCGGGTCCGCGAACGCGGAGACGGAGGGAAGCGATTGGCGATTGGCGATCGTGACGCTGGATAGGGAGGTGAATTTAGGCGCGACGGATGGGAGGAACACAAAGGTTGTGATGTTGGTCACGGTGCCGCGAACGAGCGCGACGAGGGGGGCGCTGGAGGGGATGACGCGGTTGGAGGCGCTGAAGACGATGAAGATGGCGATGTTTCGATTGATTCGGGACACGGATTTTGTGCTGGATTGCCGACGCGCGCGGACGGCGAAAGATTTGGTGGACGCGTACGAGGAGGCGTGCTCGGTGCTCACGGGAGAGCACCTCAGGAAGGTTGAGGAAGAGGCGGAGATGGCGTCGAGACGAGGGGCGGAGTTCTCCGGAGTCTTCGCGGGCGGCGTCGCGAGCGACATTCGTAGACGATGGCCGCTGTACAAGGACGATTGGGTGGATGGATTCAAGTCACCGACAAAGTGCTTAAGCGCGACGCTGTACATGTACTTTGCGTGTCTCGGACCGGCGATCGCATTCGGGGGGTTGTGTTACAAGGAGACGTCGGGGATGATGGGCGCGATGGAGTACCTGTGTTGCCAAGCCCTGAGCGGCATCCTCTGGGCCGTCTTCGCGGGTCAACCCGAGATCGTGCTGCGCCCCGCGGGCCCGCAGACGGTGTTCATCATCGAGCTCTACAAACGGTGCAAGTCGTGGAAGATTGATTTCCTCGTCACGCACGCGTGGGTGGGCCTGTGGACGGCGATTTTCATGCTCGCCATCGCTCTGAGTGATTCTTGCGCCTTCGTAGCGAACAAGTGCACGAAGTTCACGCAAGACATTTTCAGCCTCTTCGTGTGCGTGATTTTCATCTTTGAGGGATTGAAGAATCTGTTTTCGTACTTCGACAACGACGAGTACTCCACTGCGGCGGCGCTCTTCAGTCTGATTCTCGGAGTGATGACGGTGCAGCTTGGTATGTGGGCGCTGACGCTTCGCAGTTCGCCATACTTGAACACGACGATTCGTGAACTCACTGCCGATTTCGGTCTCGCCTCCGCCGTCATTATTGCGACTGTCACGGCTAAACTGTGCGACATTCCCGGATTGGAACGCTTGCGGTTGTCCTCGGATTTTGAGCCGTCCATGCAGCGCGAATGGTGGATCGATCTGAGCTCTGGGAACAAGTACATTCCTTTGATCGCCATATTTCCAGCGCTTATGTTGACCTGTCTGTATTATGTCGACATGAACGTCGCGACACTCCTGTGCAACGCGCCGGAAAAGAATATGCGCAAGGGCGCGGCGTATCACTTGAACTTTGCCGTCTTGGCAATTCTGGTGTTCATCACCAGTCTTCTCGGACTTCCACCGCCGACGGGTTCACTTCCACACTCGCCACAGTATGTGCTTGCGCTGAGCGACGTGGAAGAATTCGTCGTCGATGGTGAGACGCGCCAAAAGGTGATGAAAGTGCACGAGCAGCGCCTGAGTCCATTGCTCGTCAACGTCCTCGTGGCTCTTAGTTTCGTCGTCATTCCGGTTCTGAAATCAATCCCGATGTGCGTGCTCTTTGGTCTCTTCATTTACACCGGTATCACAGGTTTGTACGAAAACCACTTCTGGGAGCGGATCAAGATTGGTTTCATGGAGCCGCGACTGCATCCGCCGACGTCGTATGTCAGACACGTCCCACTCAGTCGAGTTCACGCGTTCACGTGCGTTCAAATCGCGTGCGTCGGCGTGCTCTGGGGCATTCGAAGTTCGCCCATCGCTTTGACGTTTCCCATTTTCATAATGGCGCTCATGCCTTTACGCGTGTTACTCTTCAAAAAGTTTGGCTGGTTCTCTCCTGAGTGGCTCGAGCTTCTCGACGCCAACACCAACGTCGCCAACTCGTCTGCAGACGATGACTACGCGATGTTGGACGATCGAAGAGAAAACGAGTGGCTAACGAACGCGAAGCGAACGTCCGTGTCGAATACGGCGTCGAACTTTATGGAGTTCTCAGAATTTGCTGGTTTACACGAATCCGGACCTGCATTTGGGAACGCCGCATCGTTGCACGCGCACACTCGATCTGACGCAGACGGCATGAACCTTCATCGGCACGAGCCGACGCAGATGTCAAAAGACAACAATATTAGTCATCTGCATAATACCCCGTAACAAATCATTACACAATAGAAGGCAGTAGTGGTAGTAGACACGATACAGTACAGCATAGAAGACGTGAAGATGTAGAAAATTAGTTTATACACAAAGCGTGTGGGCCGAAACGTCTCGCGCTCTATCCTCTCGGATCAGGTGAGAGCGGTCGCAGTTCGACCGATTTTCGTCGAACATCCCGAGGAACGCGTTGCGCGGGCCGAGCTCGTCGTCCGAACGCCACGTGATTGATCACACCCATGACTCGCATCACGGCCCACGCGAGGAAGAGCGTGTACGCCGCTTGAAACGCAAACTCAATGTTGTCATCCGTCGCGTATCGCCTCAGACCGTCGTGCTGTCGCATCTTCGTCTTTACTCGTCTCCTAAGCGGGCTCCAAACCTTCTTCATTCGTCGTATTTCCTTCTCGTACGTCGTCCTTGCCCGCTTTCCGGCACGCTGAACCATCGGCTTCGCCGCTCGCGCTGCGCGTTCCATCATCGGCTTTGCCTCCTTCACCGCGCGCTTCAGGATCGGTTTCGCCTCTGTTGCCAACTTTTTCGCCCGTTCACCGGCCTCCTTCGCCATCGTCGTCGCCATATGCGCGTAATCCGTCCGTCTTCGCGCCTCCTCCAGCGCCTCCTCCAACCGCGCAACCTCGTGCTCCAGCCGCTTTCGCGCCGACGTTTCTCGCATCGCTCGCCCCTCCGCCGCCGCCACTCGCGATTTAGCGTCTGCGAGCTCTCTGTGACACCGTCCAACGGCGCCGGCGTTCACCGTCGACGAATCCTGCGCGATCGCCCCGCGTCCCGAGACGAGCGCGAGCGCGAGCGCGCAGAGCGCGAGCGCCCACGTCCATCGCCTCGTCGCTCTCACTCGACCGCCCATCGTCGATCGTCTCTATAGAATCACTTCGAGTCACTGCTCACCGAGAGCGCGAAGCCGTGGGCGAAGACGAGAATACCCAACGCGACGGCGCCGGGGACGCCGAGGCGAATCGCTGGATCTTTACTCGCTCGACACGCCAAACCGACCGCGGGCACGAGCGGCGCGAGCGCTATGGGCCACAAGTTTTCGTACGCGGGCGCGCGAGTTCGAGCTCTCGATTCTCGATTCGCGTCGTCGGGCATGCGCCGGCGTGTGCGGGGATTCATTCAAACATTGTTGGCTTGCGCTTACACGCGCGTCCGCGCGAGCTCGAGCGATAGCGCTCTGAACGCCCGCTCGCTCGACCTCGTCGGACGCGACTGGATTTTCAAAACATCGTCGTCATCGTCGTCAAAATATTCTACCGCGCGATCACGAGAACGCGGACTTGGCGCCGAAGATGACGACGCCCCACCCGCCGAGCACGGCGAACACGACCTGCGCGCCGACCGCGACTCGAGGTCAGTCTCTCTGGATTCATTCGTCTCGCGCGTCGTCCGCCAAGATTCGTTCGACGCGACATTTGATGTGGACGCGCGTCAGGGAAACGCGCGTCTTTCGAGCCCGCCCGCGCGCGCGGTCGTCGACGCGTCGCGACACGCACGTGTTCTTCCTTCCACCGGCTCGGGTTCATCGGATCGTTCCACGGGTACGGCACTTTCGGTTCCGCGTTCGGATCCGCGGCGTAGGTTCTGCGCTGGGCGAGGTGAGTGCCGCGCGTGGAAGACGTCGTGGCGACGCGGGCGCGCTGCGCGAGCGCGGCCGCTCGGCGAAGGGCGGTGGACATGTCGGCGGTTTGTGAGGAACGCGGACGTCGCGGGACGCGGGAAGAGGCGATATGAAAGCGACGACGCGACGATATCGACGAATTGCGATGGCTCTCTACACAACTATGAATCGTACGCGCGAGGGTACGCGCGTGCGAGGGCTATGGGCTAATGATGATGAGCGCGGGCCGCGCTCGATGACGAACTAGCGCCCTGGCGGCGGCGGCGGAACGTTCGTCATCCCTGGCGGCGGTGGGACGCTCTGCATCATCCCCGGCGGCGGTGGGACGTTCATCATTCCTGGTGGTGGTGGTATGGCGTACCCGCCGCCCATCATGCCCGGCGGCGGTGGCATCGCAAAACCCATCGGCGGCGGCGGCAGTCCGCCCATCATGCCCGGCGGCGGCGGCGGAATACCACCCATCATCCCCGGCGGCGGCGGTGGCAGACCTACCATGCCGCCCATCGCCGCTGGCGTGCTCGCGGGTCCAGCGCTGAATAAGGTGTGCGGACGCACCGTCTTCGGTCGCTCGATGGACTGCGCGAGCAGACGCTCCGCCTGAGAACCGTGACGTTCACCCTTGCTATCCTTCTTGAACGCGTACTGCACGTTGATCTGCTTGTTGCACAGGTACTGTCCGTCCATGGCATCGATGGCGGCGTCCGAGGCGTCGAACGAATCGTACGCGACGAAACCAAAACCCTTGCTCACGCCCGTGTCCGGGTCGCGCATGATCTTTGGCGTATTAATCACCACCCCAAACGCACTGAAGGTGTCGTACAACAGCTTCTCATCGATGTCCGGATCAAGATTACCGATGAATAAGTTTGCGCCCACCTCATCTCTCCTATCGCCCGCCGATTTGTTCACCTTGATCGGCTTCCCGAAGAGCTTGACCATGTTGAGAATTTTAATACCCTGCGAGCCGAGCGAAAAAAGCGTTCTTCTCGTCAGTCCGAGTTCCCTCCGCGACCTGACCCGGAACCGTCGCTCAGACGATGGGAACCACGTCATAGCGACTCAGCCGAAGAAATTCAACCATAATATATCGTTAACCTCACGAGCCGAGGCTCATCAGAAGCGCGGATATTTTCGTCATCACCGTCGCGTCTCGCGTCCCTCTCGTCCTCCTCCTCCATCGCGCGCGCGCGTCGCGTCTCAAAACGTACATATTCAGCATCTTCCTCATTCCTAAACTCCACGAACCCGTACCCCTGATGCGTGCTCGTCACCCGATCCTTCGGCACGTACACGTTCGTCACCGGTCCCGCCTGGAGGAACAGCTCCCACAGCAACTCCTCCGTCACCTGCGGGTCCAGGTTCCCGACGTACACCGTGGCCTCCGCGTTTCGATCGGCACCGTGTTGCCCCAGTAGGTTCAACCCAGCGCCCGCGGCGATGCGTCCGCCCGCGGTACCGTTCATCGTCGTCGTCGTCGCTCAGAAGAACCTCGGGGCGATTGGAAATTCTCTTCTCTTCGATCGCGCGCGCGCTCGCTCGCGCTCGATCGCGATCGCACGCGATCGCACCCTCGGGCGCGGGCGTCCGGGATCGATCCGCGGCGCGCTCGAGCGAGCGCGAGCGATGGGTCGCGCGCGATGCGCGCGGGGAAGTGTCGCGCGCGCGGATGCCACACCTCGGCTGTGTCCCGGAAGGTTTGATTCCATACTGTTTGCCCATATGAAATGTGTGCGCCGCCGCCACGTCCACGACGAAAAACGACGCAGCGACGACGCGCACAGCGCGACGGACGCGATCTCGCGCGCGTCGTTCGCGATCACAGCGAGCGTGACGTCGTTCTCGCGCGGTGTCGCGAAAAAAACGGCGATCGGGGGACGGGAAACGCGATGCGACCGCTCGAGGAGAGCGAACTGGAACAAGTGCTCGCCAAACTCTTCACATTCGTCGGGAAGAACATCGAGACGGTGTTGCAGCGCTCGGACGCGCCGCACTCGCTGCGATTGCATAAGAAGCGGGTGTACTACGTGCGGGATGACGTGCTGAAGCGAGCGACGAGCGTGGGGAGGGATGAGTTGGTCGCGCTCGGGACGTGCCTGGGGAAGTTTACGCACAGCGACAAGTTTCGGTTGACGATCGGGGCGCTGGATCTGTTGGCGGCGCACGCGAAGCACAAGATGTGGGTGAAACCGACGAGCGAGATGGGCTTCATGTACGGGAATCACTTGTTGAAGAGTGGGTTGGGGAGGATCTCAGAGAACGTTGCGGCGAACGCCGGCGTGGTCATTTATTCCATGGCGGACGTGCCGATTGGATTTGCCGTTGCGTCGAAGAGCACGCAGGATTGTAGGAAATTAGATCCGAGCGCGATCGTTGCGTATCACTTGGCCGACGTCGGGGAGTATCTGCGCGCCGAGGACTCATTCGTGCAAGGGAAGAAGGACTGAGTCGGTTCGTCAAAGAAGAATTCGATGTGTATACAAACAACAGATTTTCTAGTTTCCAAGCCTTCGTTTCCATTCAGCGTCTCGATTGAATCGTCTCACTCCGGCTGCTCGTCAGCGACGACGGGAATTCGCACCATGAATCCCACGCTGTCGCCGTCACGCTCGGTTTGCGCTCCGTATCGAAAAACGAGCTCGAAATAGTTTCCCCGAGACGATATTCCCACCAACAGATTGCTCGGATTGCTCGCGCACCCCAGGAGTCCGCGCTGGAGATGTTTCACGCTCAGCATCACCGTGTTCCCAATCCCTGAGCTCTTGATCTCCGCTAACCTCGACGCAACGCCGCCAGCGTCGTCCGCCCGCTCGTCGTACTCATCCGCCTCCGCCGGGAGCACTCGTAACCCGCGATACTCGCTCCCAAGCATCCGCACGCTCCCTCGACTCGCGGTGACGTACAACGACCCACTTCTCGTCGTCGTCACCTCTACAAAATCACTCACCCTGGCGAACCGCTCCACCGTCTCCCTGACGCTCTCCAGCGCGAACCTGTCGCAATCCAACCAATACGGCACGTCCACGACATTCGCCTCGACAATCTTCTCACACGCCGCCACCTCGGCTCGATTTAACGGTCCAACGATCGGCACGTCCTGGCTCACCTCCGCTCTTCCATCGATCGCCGTGAAATTCAGATACGGCATCGCTCTCGATTCCGCGCTCGCCGCGCGCTTCACCAATCGCGCCTCCACCCGCGTCGCCTCCAACGCGATCATCCCTCGCAGCGCTCTCGACAACGCGCTCGGTTCCAACCGCGCCGCGATCTTATCATCGTTCGCGCTCGTCATCTTCAATCGTTCGAACACCTCGTCGACGCGGAGATCGGCGTGAGCGTCGATCCCACCCGTCGCTCGCGCGCTCTGGAGCAAGATTATCGTTTGCGGCGAAAACATCACCGTCACCTCGCTCCCGAGACGCTCGAACACCGGGGCGAAGCGCTCGAGCCATCGCGCGCCGACGTCTCCGAGGTCACCGCGCAGGCGCATCGTCCACGGGCGCACCGCGCGGAGGAGTGAAGCGCGATTCGAATGCTCGAATCACCGGTGACAGCTGAGAAAAATTCAAATTCCACAGCGGCACAGCATGTCGCGTCGCGACGCCCTTCGCGCCGAGATCGACGAATGGCGCGCGCGGTTCCGCGAACGACACGGTCGGGACGTCGCGCGCGCCGACGTGGAGTCGGACGCGAAGATGCGAGCGACGTTTAGGGAGTACAGAGCGCTGGGGGAGTTGAGAAATGTTCAGAATCGTCGTGCAGACGTGACGACGACGGGCGACGCGGGGCGCGAGGACGCGCCAAAGGCGCGGACGAAGACTTTAGAGGAGTTGCGGCGGGCGATGACGTCGACGGAGGTGGAGACGGAGGGGGAGGCGATCGAGGCGACGCCGATCAAGGCGCCCCGGGACGATCGCGGCGCCGACGCGCGCAAAGCGATGGAATCGACGCCGAGACGATCGCCGAGGATCGCGAGGATGAAGAAAGAGAGCGAAAACGTCGACGGGCTGAGTTTTGGAATCGGGAGCAAGACGCGTGCGGTGAATCGAGCGTTGTTCGGTGGTCAGCCGAAAAAAGCGGGCGCGTCGTTCGCAGAGGTGAAGCGGAAGCGCGACGACGTGGTGGCCAAGGATGGAGTGCAAGCTCTGAGCGAGAGCGCGATTCGGGCGGTGGAGTCTTTGGGGGAAACACGCGGGCCGATCGCGAACGACACGACGAAACTGTTGCGGGTGGAGGAGGGGAAGGGGCGGAAGAAGCGCGCGGCGACGGATGGTTCGCGCGCGCCGGCGCCAAAAAAGGTGGCGTCGACGAGCGACGCGGTCGAACCCAAGGCAAAGACCGCAGCCGATATCCGCGCCGAGCACGCGGCTCGCATCGCGGACGAGAAGGCGGCATCCAGGAGGGGAAATTTCAAAAAGTTCAATCCAAAGGGGACGTGGAAACAAAAGGTGAAGAATGGCGCGCGAAAGAAGGCGGCGAATCACTATCGATACGGCGGTGGGCGACGAGCGGCAAACAAAGCCGAAGACCGCGCCGAAAGAGACCCGAACGCGACTGAATCTGCGGAGCCTCCGTCTGTGTGGGCGGGCGGCGATTGGTGCGAACCACCAAGCACGATGGTGGAGAACGCGGTAGAGGATGGTTTGACGCCGGCGAAGCGCGCTCTTCGAGCTCGAGAGAAAGCCGACGGGCTCGCGCGCGAGTATATCACCGCAGAAGCGGCGGCGAGCGCTAAGGCGGAGGCGGAGCGTCGAGCTAAGTTACAAGTTGGACCTGAACTGGAAGCCGCGATTCAACGCGCGAAGAGCGATCCGAACAAAGAGAATCTCACCGAAGTTCTCACTCGCGGATTCGGGCACGACAACTTTCGACCAGGACAGCTCGAGATCATCACGCGTATTCTGCGTGGTGAGAACACTCTGGCGCTTCTCCCGACCGGCGCGGGAAAGAGTCTCACGTATCAACTTCCGGCTATGCTGATTTCGGGACTCACCATTGTCATCTCACCTTTGCTCGCGCTCATGGCGGATCAGATGGACTCCTTACCCCCTTCGCTCCCTGGCGGAGCGTTGAGGAGCGATATGGACAGGAACGACATGTGGGAAACGCTCACCCGATTGCGCGCCGGGAAAATAAAAGTTCTATTTGTCTCACCAGAACGCTTGCTCAATGACAATTTCATCAACGATTTACAAGACGTCCCCGGGGGCGTCTCGCTCGCGTGCGTCGACGAAGCGCACTGCGTCAGCGAGTGGTCACACAACTTTAGACCCGCGTACCACCGTCTCGGGCGCATTCTCAACGATAGAGTGCGCGCGAAGACGACGCTCGCGCTCACTGCGACAGCGACGAAGAAGACAGAACTGTCTCTCATTAGACAGTTGAACATTCCGAACGAAGGCGTGCTACGAAACGTGCGCGTGCGAGATAACCTGATCTTATCCGTTATGCGAGTTCCGGAAAAGCTACGTGAAAAGACGCTCGTGTACATGTTGAAGCACGACGAACTTTTGCAAACCGGGAGCATCATCGTGTACACCGCGACACAGAGAGATTCAGAGAGAGTCGCGGCATTCCTTTACAATGAAGGCGTCAAGGCAAAGGCGTACCACGCTGGGCAAGAACCGGCCCAACGCAGGCAAACACAGGCTGAATTCATGGGGAGTAGGGTTCGCGTCGTCGTCGCCACGATTGCGTTCGGCATGGGACTGGACAAGTCGGACGTTCGCGCAGTTATCAATTTTTCCTTGCCGCGATCTCCCGAGGCGTATATTCAGCAGGCGGGCCGAGCTGGACGCGATGGAGCTCCCGCAGCGTGCATAACGTTCTTAGACACGAGTGATTACCTTCGCTCGAGGTCACTGACGTTCAGCGACGGCGTCGATAGACCCTCAATCGCGAAACTTTTGCAGTTCGTGTTGCAGTCTGGACCGATTCTGAAAAAGGCGGCGCATGAGGGCGATTGGACGCCGTGCGTCGGCGCCTTGTCCGCGAGTGAGATGGAAATCAAGATTGACATGCGCATAGAGGCCATCGAAACTGTTCTTTCGTGTCTCGATCTTTGGGGAGAGGGTATCATTGACATTCGCTCTCAAGATGCCTCGGTCGTGAACGAACTGGACCCCGCGCATGCAAAGGGTTTGATTCGGATCCTTCCAGACATTCGAGCGACGTGCGAGGCGGAATTTTTTGAGCGTCCGCCGAAAGCGATCGGAGAGGACTGCCCTTTGGCCGCCGCCATCGACAAGCTCGTGCCCAAGCCAAAGGGCTCGATGCACAAGTTTAAAATCGTGGACGCGTGCACGCACATGCAGTGTGGGTTCGATGAGGTTTCGGCACAGCTCAAAGCTCTGGCTAAGCACGACAATGTGCGATACACGCTGTCAGATAGAGCGGTCGGATTCGAAATCGTTCGCGCGCCGCCAAAGGATATTCAACCTCTCGCCAAGGCGCTTGCCGATCACTGCGCAGATATTGAAGCGTGCTCGGTGGGTAAGTTGGACGCGCTTTACAACGCCATGGACGAGGCGGCAAATGCAGAAAGCGACGAAGCGCAGGGCGAGCACTTGCGCCAACGGTTGGCTGAGTATTTGAACGAAGATTCCGACATGGTTCCTTCGCCGCCCGCGTGCGTGAAGACTGAGTCCAACCTTCTTTTAGTGGACATCAAGGTGCTTCTCGCGCATAGAAGCGGAGGGAAGAACGGCGGCGCGGGCATGATGACCGCGCGCGCAGTGGCGCGCATCCTGCATAAGCTACACTCGCCCGCGTACCCCGCGAAAGAGTGGGGTCGACACCACGCCTGGGGTCGACACGCAGACGTCGATTTCAAGCACATCTTAGCTCGCGCCGAGGAGGAGATTGCAAAGGCGCGAAAAATAGCGTAGAAAATAGCTCTAGTATCATTAGAATCACTGCGAAGAGAAACCTCTGCCGATGCTCGCGCCGACGCTCGAGACGCCGCTGGCCATGCCGCCGATTCCTGAAGTGACGCCACCGACGATTGTCGATCCGGCGCCGAGGATACCGGAACCCATCGCCGAGACGCCGGTACCGACGCCACCGACAATCGTCGACCCAGCGCCCATTATTCCAGTTCCTAAACTCGTGATACCATCCGTCACTCCGCCAAAAATTTTTCGATGGAAATCATTCATGATTTCCGTGACCAAACCGATGCCGACGTCCTTCGCGAGCTCCCTGGGTTTGCCGATGAAATTGTTCATTTGGAATTGCTGGAACTGAAACGGCGTCGACGCCACGGTCGTGATCGTGAGCGACCAGTTGTAAAAGGTGAGATTGTTCACCCTCAAAACCATCGGTGCTCGACGAAGCGTGGCGCGATCGAGGTGTTTTTCTTCCTCGTGGTCGATTGGACTGGGGCGCTTCAATTTTTCGAGGATATCCGCCAACGCGTACAACCGCTTCGTCACGTCCGCCCCGGCGTTCTTCAGAGACCCCGCGACGGCCCCGGGAAGTTTCATCGCCTCTTGCATCTGCGCGTCGATCGCCTTCTGCGTGGCCGCGAGAGAACTCGAGAAGCTTCCGAAAAATCCTCCGTCGACATCCGCGTCCGCCGGCGTCTCCTCTCGCGCCGTTGCCTCCTCCTCCTCCGCCGTCTTCGCCTCCTCCTCTCGACGCTGACGCATAATCTTAAAATTCTTCGCCCTACCCAACTCCTCGATGAACACGCTCGCCCCCGAGACGTATATCTCGTTGCACTTCGTCGTCACGAACCCGAAGACCAAGTTTCCAAACTGCAACCGCCCGAGCGCCGACAAGAAATCAATCGCAATCTTAATCTCCTCGAACGACGCCAGGTGCGGAGACGCAAACGTCACACCATCCACCACCGCGTTCCCGATGGTCAACCCGCGCAAGGTGACGGTGTTCCATCGAACGGCGCACGATTGAAGCGCGCACGTCGCCGTCGTACGCCTCTCGAGCTCGCCGAGCGCGCGCGCCTTGGCCCACGCGTCCAACTTCGCCACGAACGTCCGTCGGTTCGCGTACGCGTATCCCCCGATCGCGGCGACGACCGCGACGACGACCGCGAGCGCCGTGAGCGTCAACGCGACGAGCGCACCGACGAGAGAACTGAACGCGCGCGCGGCGCGCAATCCACCCAATCCACCGCCCACGAACGCGATCCTCTGCGGACGCGCTAAATCGTAGTTCCCGCTCAGCGCGTCCTCGGCCACGGTTTGCGCGAGCGCGAGGAGGACGTCCGGCGCGAGGTCATCGCTCGACATCGCGACGGGACGCGCAGTGCGGACGCGCGCGATCGAACGCGTCACATTCGTTCGTTTCCACGCGACGAACGACAGACGCGCGCGCGCGCGACGACCGCGCCTCACCGTCCTCCGCGTCCCGATCGATCTCTCGAACGATCCGCACGCTCGGCATCGCGCGCGCGCTCGCGTCTTTTTCTTTTTCTTCTTCTTCGTCGTCCTTCGTCGTCGTCTTCGTCTTCGTCTTCGTCTTCGTCGTCGTCGTCGTCATCCGACCTCGACCTCGACCCCGACCTCGACCCCGAGCGCGAGCGCCGCCGTCGTTTCCGTTCCCGCCGCCGCGCTTTCCGCGCGCGCCGCTCTTCCCGCGTCCGTCGCCGCGCCGCGTCGCGCGTCGTCGCCGCCGTCGTCGCCGCCGCGTCGTCCCGTCCCGTCCCCCCGATCGCCACCGTCGTCCCCAACGCCGCGCCCATCGCCGCCGCCTCCCGCGCCCGCGTCTCCGCGATCTCTCGCGCGAGCGCGTCGTCGCTCGCCGTCGTCGTCGTCGCCTTGGCGTACCAAAACACATCTTTCCCTCGACACCATCGTCCCGTCGTCGCCTTGACGCTGTGTCCGAGGTAATGCTCGCGATCGGCGCTCGCGCGGACGTCGTCCCAGCTGAACCGATCGCGGCCGCCGCGCGCGCCCCCTCGGGGCGCCCCGGCGTCGGCCATCGCCGTCGTCGGCGACGAAAAGTGTCGCGATGCGAAAACTGCATCGTGCGATGCGTCGACGCGGCATTCATCGCCACGACGCCGCGCCCGCGTCGCCATGCGCGCGCATCCGAGCGCGCGCGCGTCGGTAGCGTCGGTAGCGCCCGCGCGGACGCGGACGGCGACGCGCGCGCGCGCGAGCGCGGGGTTTGAATTCGCGACGGCGGCGCGATGCGTGTTCGGTCGAGGCGCCTTCGCGCGCGTCCCGACGCTCGCCCTCGAGCTCGCGCGCGCGGAACACGTCGCCGACGTCGATGCCCTGCGCGTGTTCGTCGTCGCGGGGGCGTCGGGGCGGTTCGTCGATGGATTGGTCGAGGCCATGGCGGCGACGGCGCCGAAGGCGACGACGACGACGTATCGATGCCCGCGCGGCGAACCCACGGTGGCGAGCGCGATGGCGGCGACGCGAATGGCGATCGAGGCGAAGTGTGAGATCGTGATCGCCCTGGGGGGGGGGACCGCGATCGATACGGCGAAGGCGGTGGCGGCGATGATGACGAACGGCGGGGCGGAGGCGGATGCGTACGATTTTCTCGAGGTGGTGGGACGCGGACGGGCGCTGACGACGCGAACGGCGCCGTTCATCGCGGTGCCGACGACGGCGGGACCGGGGGCGGAGGTGGCGAAGAATGCCGTGCTCGAGGCTGGGGATAGAAAGGTGTCGATGCGACATCCGTACATGTTGCCTTCGATCGCGGTGATCGATCCCGAGTTGACGCTCGGGTTGCCGCGAGACGCGACGGCGCACACCGGGTTAGACGCGCTCACGCAGTGCATAGAGCCGTACGTGTGCTGCGTCCCGAACCCGTTGGTGGATGCGATTTCCATGGCGGGCATCGTCGCGGGGTCGAGCGCGCTTCGACGCGTCGTCGACGACGGGTCGGATATCGACGCGCGAGAACAAATGTGCTTGTGCTCGTATTACGGCGGTTTGTCCCTCGCCAACGCCAAGCTCGGCGCCGTGCACGGATTCAGCGGTACGCTCGGTGGATTGCTGCACGCCCCGCACGGCGCGATCTGCGCCGCGCTCTTGCCGCACTCGTGGACCGTGAACGTCGCCGCGCTGGAGGGACGCGTCGCGAAGGACGATCCAGAGGTATCCGCGCGCGCGCTCGCGCGATACGCCGAGGTCGCTCGCGCGATGACGAACGACCCCGAGGCCACGGTACAAGACGGCATCGCGTTTCTCGTCGATCTCGTCGAGCACTGCGGGGTTCCGGGTCTCGGTACGTTTGGACTGAAGGCGTCTGACTTTGCGTCCGTCGTCGAAAAGTCCAAGCAAAGCTCGTCGATGAAGGGGAATCCCGTCGAGCTCACGGACGAGGAATTGACCACCATGCTCGCGCTCGCGCTGTGATGATGATACATTCGTGGAGATTCTCACGACGACACACAAAGACGAGGACGATCGCGCTACGTCGACGACGCGCGCGTCCGCGCGACGACGGTGTCCGCCCACGTCCGCATCCGCGCGCACTCGCCGCGCGACCACGCGTCGTCCTCCTCCTTCGATCGATCGATCACCATCGCGGGTCCGATCCGCATCCACCCAATCTTCCGCAACGCCGCGTCCACCGACGCGCCCACCGCGTTCGCATCGAGCGGGATTGATTGATTATGTAAAAACGCCCCGCGCGCCGCGATGACGTCGCAATCGCCCACCATCACCATCGCGTACCTCTTCCCGCGTGCCGCGTCCCCCCCGTCCCCCCGAGCCGTCACGCGCGCCGCGCGCAAGATCTCTCGCACCGTCCGACTCGCTTCGTTCGCCGGTTCGTCGCCCTCGGCTGTTTCAACGACGATGACCTCGATGGCATCATTCATCGCATTCGATTCATCTCGAACGCACCCCACGAGCGCGTCGACGTCGCTCTCGCGCGCGCACGCCCCCCCCGCGCGGTCGAGCGCGCGTATCGCGCACGCGCGCGCCTCCTCGGCGAGCGCACCGCCGAGGGCGTGCGCGCGCATGCGTCGATGCGTCGATGAATGAAAACCGTTACACCAAGAATGAAACAATTCATGTCGACCGTGGTGGTCACACCGCGTCGCGCGCGCATGTCGCCCGCGGACGACGCGATGGCGTGCGTCTTACGCGGTCGTCCGGCGCGAGTGAAGGCGCGCGCGCGCGAGACGGGGACGCTGGACGTGGCGATGCGTTGGATGCACGATGATGGATTGATTTTTGCAAATTCCTTCAACGCCGCCGCGCTGCGTCGGGCGAGCGCGACGACCGCGCTCGATGGCGCGCGCGCGATCGTGCGCGCGCTTCGACGGCGGTGCGTGAGCGAAACGACGGCGTCGCGGTGGATTGTGCGTCGATGGAGGATTTGGTGGCGGCGCGCGACGGCGGCGCGGCGGATACCGGCGACGACGGATTCGACGTCGAGCGCGTGTTTCTCATCCTCAGCGTCGAGGGCGCCGATCGCACGCGCGCGCACGTCCCGTTACCCCTCGCGCGGGTTCGACCGTCGACGGAGGTTGGGGTGGATCGAGGGACGCGCGCGCGCGGCGGCGCCGCCGAAACGGCGCGCGCGGCGGAGCTCGAACGCGAGATGGCGACGATGCGCGCGCGCGAAGCGCGACTTCTCGAGAGATGTAGGGAGGAAATGGCGGCGATGCGGGCGAAGCACGCGGCGGAGGTGGCGGCGATGCGGGCGCGGGAGACGCGGTTACGGGTGAAACTGCGCGAGGCGGCGGCGACGCGCGCGGCCGTCGAGCGAACGCGCGTCGCGAGCGAGACGCGCGCGCTTCGGGCGGCTGCGCGCGAGGAATCGGGCAAAGAGACGAATCGTTGTCTTGAATTAGCGTTGCCGACGACGGACGTCGCGAAGGCGCGAGCGACGCGCTCGAGTGACGGTTTGCTCGACGACATTGACGAACGCCTGAAATCGCTTCAGACATTCTTAGCGAGAGCGAAAGGGGCGCGACTGGACGACGGCGTCGACGTCGCGCGGTGACATGTTTGTACAACGATCGAGGCGATGAAGAAATGCGAGCGACGCGCGCGTAGCGAATAGAGCGGTGACGATGCGAGTGGTGAAAGAATGAAATATTATTTTACAAATTGCGACAGTTCCGAAACGCGCATCCGCGTCAGACGGGCGTCGACGGTATCGGGCGCTTGTTCCTCTTCGGACGCTCGTACGCCTGCCTCCTCGGAAGCTCACGTTCGAACACCTCCGTCCACGATTCCCCGCGATGACGCGCGCACAGGATCTTCACCACGGCGTCGATGTTCAACACGGTGTGCGTCTGATCGGGGCGATGCTCGCGAATCGGCAAGCGCCTGGTTTCTAACCGAGCCGACGTCGCCCTGGTGAGACTGGTCGGGATCCCGCGCGTCGCGAGGTCCACGATCCCACCGATGACGTAGACTTTATCCGAACGTACCTCGTCCAAGACGTCCGTCGCGTCGGGCGAGAGGTAGACGACGGATGAGGGATCGAACGCGTCCTCCACGGCGCGCGACTCCGTGCGCACTGATGTCCATCCATCGCTAAAAAAGAATTCGCGCGCCTCTTGCGCGATGTCACCCTGAAACGCGCAGTACGTCATCGCGAGCGCATCTTCGCGATGGGCGACGCCGACGCACTCGCACAACTGCTTGGCGACGCTTCGTCTCGCGCGCGCGGAATCCTGCTCGTAGCTCACATCCACGGCGACGCGCAGCGCGTTCGGATCGGCGAAACGCGCATCGACATCCACGCTCGCCTTTTTCGCTTTCCTCGCCGATCGTCGCTTCTCGTTCTTCCCAGCCGCGTTCTCGAGCGCTTGCTCAACCGTGAACAAGACGTCCGGCCGTAACGGCTCGCTGGCAGTCTTCCCGAGCGCCGCCGTCATGAACGATCGACCGAATCGGCACAGACTCACCTCGCTCACGTTCTCGTACCCGAGCTCGCGCATCTTTTCAGCGATCGGGACTCCGCTGATGTACACGTGTCGATCGGCGGCGTCGCGAAACGCCTCGAGTAAAGGCGCGTACTCGCTCGCGGTTGATCCCGGAGCGCCTCGTCCGTCTCCGTCGCCGCCGCCGATCGCGACGCGACGCCCGAATGGGAGATTGGATACGATCACGCGTTTTCGCCGATTGGACCCGTACGCGTCGTCGAACGCGTTCGCGCTCAGCGCGTCTCGCTCGATGATGCTCGGCGAGTGCTCGCTTCCCGTCCGCGCGACAAAGTGCCCGACGTTTTGCTTCGCCATGACGACGGCGCCCGGAGACACGTCGCCGCCGCGGCGGCGAAACCGCGCGTCCACGCCGCGTAAAGCATCGTTCCCGAACCACAGCACGGATCGATCACGACCGCGTCGCCGTGCACGGCGTCGAACGATTCGACGTCGTGCGCCGTGGCGACGTTGACGCACGCGAGCGCGAGCTCCGCGCGCGTCCCCGCGCTAAAATGTCTCGGCTTTCGCGCCCACTCCACCGCGCGATCGTTCACCCTCGACGGCGCGTACGTCACCAGCCCAAACACGTACCCCTCGGCGCACTCTACCAGGGCGAACCGCGTCGTCTTCGCCTCCTCGCCCGCGTCCCGCGCGTCCCGCAAACCCTCCGTCCCCCACGTCGACACCACCGATCGAAACCCTTTCGAGACCGCGTCGGAGGACATCCGCGTCGGATTCCGCATCACGCACTCGTGGTGAAACGCCACCGCGCCGTCGACGCGCACCGCCAAACCCTCCGTCTCCCGCAACGCGTCCTCCGCCGTCGCCGCGCACGCCATCGGCGCCAACTCCGCGCGCAATCCCTCCGCCGCGCGCGCGCCCGTCCACCCCCCCGACGCATCGAACGTGAACATCCCCACGCACATCCCACGCGCGCTCGACGTCATCGCCACCGTTTCCATCGCTCGCGCGTTGTACAGATTTTCATTCTTTCGCCCGAGCCCCATCCGCGTCCACCGCGCGTCCACCGACGCCGCGCGCGGCCAGAGCGTCGACGCGCGACGACCGAGATCGTCCACGTCCACGCCCCAGCGCGCGATCGCGTCGTCGACGTCGCGGTCGAACGGCGCGGTGGATGGAAACGCCCCGGATTTACTCGAGCGACTCGCTCGGGTCCGCACCGCGCGCGTCGCGCCCTCGAACGCGCGCGCGCGACCGTGGACGCGCGCGCGGACGTCGACGCCGATCGCGCGCGCGCGCGCCATCGCGCGCGACGCGAGGTGCGGATGATGTGGATGGGCATCATCGCCAGCCATCGTTCGACATCATCATTCGCCATCGTTCGACGCCGGTGCATGCCCGCGGGCGCGCGCGAGGCCGCGCTCGAGGCGCTCGCGCGCGCGTTCGAGGGCGCGGGCGCGGACGGGCGCGCGCGGGCGCTCGAGCGCGCGAGCGCGCGGGCGAACGGGTCGGTGGATCGATTGATTGAAAACCTGCGCGCGGCGGGGACGTTCGCGACGACGACGACGCGCGTGACGGAGGAGAGCGAGCACGCGGGTGGGCGAACGACGACGCGGTGTCCGAGGTGTGGGCGGGAGACGGCGAGCGGGCGGTTCGCGCATCACTTGGAGCGGTGTTTGCGGACGGAGGCGACGGAGGCGGGCGAGGCGTGAGACGACGCGGCGGGATGAAGGCGAAGGCGCCGCAGGCGCAGGGAATGAAGTGGATGGCGCGGGTGAAGCGACGGGTGAAGCGAGATGAGGACGAGCGCGCGGCGTGGGGGGAGGTTGGGGTGGATGGGGTGG